TTTTTTTAATTTATTTTTGAGACAGAGACAGAGCATGAACGGGGCAGGGGCAGAGAGAGAGGGAGACACAGAATTGGAAGCAGGCTCCAGGCTCCGAGCCATCAGCCCAGAGCCCGACGTGGGGCTCGAACTCACGGACCGCAAGACCGTGACCTGGCTGAAGTCGGACGCTTAACCGACTGAGCCACCCAGGCGCCCCATTGTCTATATTTTTATATGTGGCCAGTAAAGTCTCGTCTCCACTTGGTTAGTTTAATGATCAGCTAATGATTGGACAGCAATTTCCTTAGTTTGATTTGATTTGATTTCCTGATACCAAGAAGTCTCCTGGGCATTATAAGAGGAGTTCTGTGTGCATATTGAATGAAGCATGCCTTTAACACTCAGTTATGCAGTTTTGAACTCTGCCTTAGCCTTTGTACAGATCTGTACAGATCCTTCAGTATAGCCAGAGATGCCAGTTTAGGGCCTTCTGATGAATTCTCATGACTTACCTGAACATGTGTAGAGCCTGGGCATACACAGCCCTACATATGGGCCAGTATTCTAGATTCTTGGGAATTTGTTAGAGTTTTTCAAAGTCCTTATGCACATCTCATATCCTTACTTTTCCTCTTTTTTTTTTTTTTTTAATGTTTGTTTATTTTTGGGAGATCACAAGTGGGAAAGGGGCAGAGAGAGGGGGACAGAGGATCCGAAGCGGCTTTTCACTGACAGCAGCAAGCCTGGTGAGGGGCTTGAACTCACCAACAGCAAGATCATAACCTGAGCTAAAGTCAGATGGTTAATCGACTGAGCTACTCAGGTGCCCCTAAATGTTTATTTTTGAGAGACAGCGTGAGCACAGGAGGGGCAGAGAGAGAGGAAGACAGAGAATCCGAAGTGGGCTCTGCACTGACAGCAGACAGCCTGATGCAGGGCTCAGACTCAGGAACAGTGAGATCATGACCTGAGCCAAAGTCGGATGCTTCATGGACTGAGCCATCTAGTCGCCCCTGTCCTTGCTTTTCTCATTAAATTTTTTGGTTAGTCTGTTGTTTGACCTAACAAGCAGCTTTAAAGTTCAGCATTTGCCTGTCGTTGTTGTTAGCAAACACACCCATGGAAAGTTATTTTGACACTGCCCAAGCTATAGATCAGGTCAAACGTAGACAGTCTTGCAAGTAAATTTTTCTAGGGAACCATCAAAAATGTCAGGTAGTGACAGTTCTTTGGGATTAAGGCTTGGAAGAAATTTCAGCACATTCTGTGACTGCTTGTCTTCACTTTGAATGTGATATGTTAGTTTTAATTACCATAGCTCCTGGAGAGCAGGTCATGGGACTGGGACAAGTTAAAACACCACAAAGTTCCAGTGTTCTTACTGAGGGTCAGCTCTTTTTCTTGAATAGAGGCTCCTTGAATTATTGCAAACCTTTGGTTATTTTCTACATTCTGAAGAATTGAGTCTTAAAATTTTTGCCAATTTTCTTATTGCTTTTATCAAGAGAAGAATTTTTGAGGGTCCTGACTTGCTATGATTACTGGGTTTTGTAGCTTATTTAGTCTTAGCTTGTCCTTTCTATCCCTTTCTCAGGCTCTTTTACTATACTGTTAAGTGAGTGTCTTTCTGGGTTTCTTCATATTTGAAATATGGTATACTGCCAAGGATAGTCACTGCAGTTATTTATAATAGCAAAAGAGTAAGAAACAATCCAAATGTCCCAAAATACAGAAATCATTTATTTAAAATGATTTATCTAATATCCATATGATGGAATGTTACACAGATACTAAAAATCATCTATTTAGAGACTATTTTGTAGGAAAATGTATGATACGGATGGGGAAAAATTATAAAATTCAGTATATTCAAATTTTTGAAAATAAGTTTTGTAAAGAAACAAACATGTATATACCAAAAAAACTGCTGGAAGGAGCTGTATCAAAATATTAGCATTTATTATTTCTGGGTAGTATTTAAATCAGGTGAGTTATAAATGATTTTTGTTCTGTATTATGTACCATAAGGTTGTATTAGTTATTTTTTGTGTTAAAAATAAATGTAGCAATTAGTATGACATACCTGTACCTATTACTATTTTTCACTCATATTAATGTAATGAAAAATTATTTGACTGTTGAGTTTGGGTGATTTAATATAAGCTCTTATGAATATTTGAAAAAACGCTATAAGAACATTAATAGTAACTTTGACATTGGGGCTAACAAAATGTATATGAGTAGTTGTTAATCCTAAGAGTTTACTCCATAGAAAGTTTAATTTCACTGGGATATAATAGGGTGAATTATTAGGCAGATGAAAAACCTATAGTCTCATTTATTAGCATTTCATTTTTTTCCTTTTCAGGCGCATATTAAATTTCCTATTGACTACCCGTATTCACCACCTACCTTCAGATTCTTGACCAAAATGTGGCACCCCAACATTTATGAGGTAAGAGACATATGTTGTGAATTTCTCTGAAGATTCATTTTTTAGATACAGTCCTGCAAAATAACCTATGCATCTCAGTATGCTGTGGTAGTTATGCTGTAGCCGCAAGGGAGTATTCATGGTTCCCCACTTGTAGTTACTAGTCTCTAGTTTAATTGTTCCAAATTGAAGGTTGTTTCATAATACCGGTGTATTCTACACATAGATATGTTTATATATAATATATATAAAGCTTAAACATTTTTTTAAGCTTATTTATTCTGAAAGAGTATGATTGGGGTAGAGGCAGAGAGACAGGGAGAGAGAATTCCAAGCAGGCTCTATGCTGACACAGCACAGAGCCCAACAAGGGGCCCAAACCCACAAATTGTGAGATCATGACCTGAGCCAAAATCAAGAGTTGGATGCTTAACCACCTGACCCACCCAGGCAACCCTAGATTTTTTTTTTTAAGAGAGAGGGGCATGCAAGCAGAGGAGAGGGGCAGAGGGAAAGAGAGAGGTAATCTCAAGCAGGCTTCATCCTCAGCATGGAGCCCGATGTGAGGCTTGATCCCATGACCCTGGGATCATGACCTGAGCCAAAATCAAGAATCTGATGCTCAACCAACTGAGCCACCCAGGGACCCCTATTATATTTAAGATTGAGACTTTGAATCATTGTTGCTATTCCTAAGATTATACTGCTTAGGTGTTAAGATTGGCATTTTAAAAATTTAGTGTATAAAGTCATACAAATTACTATCCTCTAGCTTCACAGCAAGGGTTACCTGTTGCTATGATCACAGATTGAGCTTCTCAGGGGAATTTATCCTACTACATTTGGACTGGCCTCCTTTTAGTAATTGCTTCAGAGCAGTTGAGAACCTCTTTTAGAATAAATCCAAGGTGAGGTTCTTCTACAGAACATTTCACATGCCTGAGGGAGTGATTTCTAGTTTTGTTGGTGAAAGACACTTAGCTTTGGGCTAATCTATAACCATGCTGGAATGATGCATTTTGTTTCTCAGGATCATTATGTAAGGACCTCTAAAATATCCTTATAGTCCACTCCTTTACCATTTTGTAATCTTTTTCATTGTATTAAGGCTCTGAGGTGGTCTTACTTTATTGAAGCTGTGGACCATGCATTAAAATTCCTTTTTAAAATTTGCAGCCTTAGTCATATAGTCCCTTCTTTTGCTCTGGTGGATATTGGGACGCTCCTTTGCTCCAGAAACAGAGCAACATAATGCCTGTAGGCAAGAAATGAAGAACTTGCTCTAGAGCTCTGAACCCTGAATTTGGATCTCCATATAAATCACACTGGAGCAAGCAGCTTTATTGTTTTACACAATTTACTTTTTCTTCAAGGCATTATCTTTGCCTTTCTTTTCTTTTTTTTTTTTTTAATTTTTTTTTTTTAATGTTTTATTTTTTTCAACGTTTATTTATTTTTGGGACAGAGAGAGACAGAGCATGAACGGGCGAGGGGCAGAGAGAGAGGGAGACACAGAATCGGAAACAGGCTCCAGGCTCTGAGCCATTAGCCCAGAGCCCGACGCGGGGCTCGAGCCCACGGACCGCGAGATCGTGACCTGGCTGAAGTCGGACGCCCAACCGACTGCGCCACCCAGGCGCCCCAACCTTTCTTTTCTTTAAACAAGACAAACTGGTGCTCAAAAGGTGATGTGTAGTTACATTTCCAGAAATAAGCTCCCAGAATTTGTTTTCTTTAATGTCTTTAGTATTTGAGATAATCACAATATTTATAAACAATAGTGAATACCTTAACACTATTCTGTATAACAGAGTTACCCCTTGTAGGAGATAGACTATAGAAACAATTCACTGTTTAAGAAGTTCAAAACGAGTTCAGCGCACGTAGAAATACTTCTGTGTTTCTGTCCATGTAGTATTTATGGATTTTATATAGCATGAGTGAAGTGAGAAGACTCAAGCTTTTGTTTTGCTATTAAGAACTAATTCACCTAAAAGCCATGTATTCACTTGTTTCCATTCTGAAGTTACCTAATCCCAAACTCCTCTCAAAGAGAAACAAAAGGGGCGCCTGGGTGGATCAGTCGGTTGAGCGTCTGACTTCAGCTCAGGTCATGGTCTTGCAGTTCGGGAGTTCGAGCCCCGCGTCGGACTCTGTGCTAACAAACCGTCCCCTGCTCATGCTCTGCGTCTGTCTCTCAAAAATAAATAAATGTTAAAAAAAAAAAAAAAGAAACAAAAAACAAGGAAATGGATTCAAAACTGTGAAGGAATAAAGTGTATGTAAATTTCCCTTTCGACTATTTTTTCACTATTAAAGTAGACTATTTAGTTCTGTCTCAAGACTTAGCATTGGATCATTATTTTTTAAAAAGTTTTTTTCATATTCATAATCAAATTTTCAATGGGAAAATAATTCATTTGTATCTTATAAATATGCAGTTGTTTTCCATGCCACAAATGTTTACTTTTTAATTTTTTTAATGTTTATTTAGTTTTGAGAGACAGAGACAGAGCACGAGTAGGGGAGGAACAGAGAGAGAAGGAAGCACAGAATCTGAAGTAGGCTCCAAACTCTGACCTGTCAGCACAGAGTCCTGACGTGGGGCTCAAACCCATGAACCACGAGATCATGACCTGAGCCAAAGTTGGACGCTTGAGCGACTGAGCCACCCAGGAGCCCCTAATGTTTTCTTTTTAAAGAAGTGATAAAGCGTGGTTAGGAATTTAATTTGATATAGTCATGGTGGTCATAAGAGACTTATAGGGCGCCTGGTTGGCTTAGTCAGCAGAGCATGTGACTCTTGATCCTTGGGTTGTGAGTTCAAGCCCTACTTTGAGTGTAGAGATTACGTAAAAAAATAAAATCTTTGGGGTGCCTGGGTATCTCAATGGGTTGATCGTTTAACTCTGATTTAGGGTCATGGGATTGAGCCCCATGTCAGACTCTGCACTGAGTATGCAGCCTGCTTGAGGTTGTCTCTCTCTCTCTCTTTCTCTCTGCTCGTACACTCTGTCTCTAAAATGAAATGAAACATAAAATAAATCTTTAAAAAACAGAGAGAGACTCTTCTCACATAAGTTAATTTATCTTTGCTACACTTTGGAAATGATTATCAGAATTGAACTTTTTGAGGGCCTATGTCCGTATTTGTGATTCTAAAGGTTGGGGCTCATGTTTCTTGGCCAAAGGGATATTCTTGTTGGTTGTTGCTCTCACCTACCTGCGTTGTCACCTGTGGTAGACACGTGGTGGACCTTGAGGTCAAATTGCTGTAGTCATCAAAATGTTTACTGCAGTGTTATTTATAATAGAATTAGAGATGGGGGAGGGGCAGTGAAACAAACCAATCAAAAATACAAAAGTAGAAGGCTATTCAAATGCCAGAAAAAGGGACTTGAAAGAGTTTTGGGAAGGTTCTTGGGTAGCCCAGTCAGTTAAGCATCTGACTCTTGGTTTCAGCTCAGGTCATGATCTCACGGTTCATGGGTTGGAGCCCTGTGTCGGGCTCTGTGCTGACAGCTCAGAGCCTGAAGCCTGCTTTGGATTCTTTGTCTCCCCCTCTCTCTGCCCCTCCCTGCTCACGCTCTCTGTCTCTCTCAAAAATAATCATTAAAAAAAAAAGTAAAAAAATAAACTTAAAAGAAGCTTTTGCTACATTAACTTCACAAGCATTAAAAATAAATATTGTAGAGACTATTATTGTTAGAAAATAAGTTATAATGTTATTTTTTAAAATAACTTTTTAAAGTTTATTTTTATTTATTTTTGAGAGATAGAGAGTGAGCGGGGGAGGAGCAGAGAGGGGGACAGATCCCAAGCAGGCTTCGCTCTATCAGCGCAGAGCCCACTGTGGGGCTTGAGCTCAAAATCTGTGAGATCATGACCTGAGATGAAACCAAGAGTCAGACACTTAACTGACTTAGCCACCCAGGTGCCCCTATTATGTGAAGTTTTAAAAATCACAAGAGCTTTTGTTACAGTTTTGCTAAATACATCAATGTACACATTACTACAGCCCCAAAAGAAGTAAACGCTGCAGTATATATGAATGAATTCAATTATTTTAACATTACCTTTATCATTGCCATATTTGTGAAATTTATAAATATCAAGGGGGAGCTTGGAGAACAAAGGAAATTTAATATGAACTTGTCATCAGTGATTGTACTACTATGTATCTACTCCTGTCTACTTTGTAATATGTTGAGTGAACTCAAAAATAGTTTCATGGTTACATGTAACTGCGTTCTCAGAAGTAGACAGCCAACAAACTCCATTTGCCTGGCCATGTATTAAAATGAGGCTTTCATACACCCTGTAATGCACTGTGAACTTTACAGCTATGGCAACTCAGAATCTCTCTGTTCTTTAGAATTTAGTAAATAAAAAATAATTTTTTTTTAAAATAGACTAATTTTTAGAGTAGTTTTAGATTCACTGCAAAATTGAGTGGAAAGCACACACTATTTGATCTTTTTAGTACTAGTGAGTTGTGAAACACAGTATGAAGCTTTACTTAAAAAACATAATAGGGGCACCTGGCTAGCTCAGTCAGAAGAGCATGTGACTCTTGATCTCGAGGTTGTGAGTTTGAGCCCCATGGTGCATGTAGAGGTTACTTAAATTTTTAAAAAAAGTAAAAATATAAAGATTTCAGATGTTTTTTTTTTTTTTTATGAAGGAGTATACAAGTCATCTTTCCTATATAGTGTGCACAGGTAAATGTCAACCAGTGCAGTCATGAAATGAAAGTTCATGTATGTTGGTGTCTTTTAGTCTGCTTGACAGCCAGTAATAAAATATTTTGCTGTTTCACTTATGGTTCTGGTTCTGAAGAGTTATTCTTCATTCTAGAACCCAGATTATTCTCAAATCATTATACTAATTTGTATAGCTTCCAGCATTATAAAGATGTATCAATTTGGCTACTATTCCACTGTCATTAGGGCATGGTATGTTTAAATATTATTGTTTTAATAATGATTAAAAATAGACCCTACTGTTTTAATATGCTTTTC